CCTGGGCTACAAAGTGAGCCCAAGGCCAGCCTGAACTGCATAGAGAGACCCTGTCTCAAAAAGACAAAACAAAAACAAAAAACAAAAGGAGTGTCAGTTGAACACACTGCAGTTTATCCTTCTATTTTTGTTCGGGTTATTCCCAATTTGAGTTAAGATCAACAGTGTTTGTAAGGAATAATCAGTCTGGTGCCTTCTGGTGGAAAACATGTGCATATCTGCTTATAGGTATAAGATGCTCTTTCTTGAGTCAGTGTAGACACAGAAGTGAAATGTCTGGGTCATAGAACCTGTGTTTGTTCCGCTAACCAGTACTCCAAAGTGTTCATACTTACACTTCTGGCAGCAACATCGAAGAGCTTCAGTTTTTTGCATCCTCACCAAAATTTGCTACTCTGTGTTTATTTATTTTTGTCTTTTTGAGGCAGGGTCTCACTATGCAGTTCAGGCTGGCCTTGAACTCACTATGTAGCCCAGGCTGGCCTCAAACTTGCAGTGATTCTCCTGCCTCAGCCTCGAGAGGGCTGAGATCATAGGCGTGCTCCACCATGTCCAGCTGAAGGACTTCTTCGTATTTTCTAAGTAAAAATCCTCGGTTGGATACACGTGTTACAACAATCTAGTGTGTGACCTGTCCTTTGACTTTTGTAGTGTTATCTTTCAATGAGAAATTATTTCTAAAACTGCTTAATTTTTATTGTCCGTGTTTGTAGCACACACTAATTCCATTCACTGTGGGGAGCTGGTGCACCTACGTGACACGTCTCCATGTTTTCAGCCCTTCCCTGCTGCCCTTCCCTCCAGCCTCTGGTCCCCTTTCTATCTGGGAAAGATTGATCTCCTGTTCCCTATCATACTTTATTCTTTAACTTACTTTATACTTCGAGTTTCTCATATAAGAGGAACCGTAGGCTATTTAAGCTTGTGTGATCTCACTTAACACTATAGTCTTGAGGTGCATCCATTTTCCTACAGATGACCCAGGTCTACCCTTCCTTCTAGCAGATCAGAGCTCCATGGAGAAGTTCTTCATTCTTAGTATTATATTTTGATCTTTCTTTGTCTTTTTGAGACAGGGTCTCGCTGTGAGGTTCAGGCTGGCCTTGAGCTCACTTTGTAGCCCAGGCTGGCCTTGAACTTGCAACGATCCTCCTGTCTCAGCCTCCCAGGTGCTGTTATTACAGGCATGCGCAATCACGCCTGGCAAATGTCCCATAGCGAGACTGCATAGCGAGACTTTGTCTTTAAAAAACTAAGTAAGTAAGTAAGTAAATAAATAAATAAATAACCACTCTTTCCCCTAGTGCTGTACAGGTTTCCAAATAATTATACATGTTCATCTGCTTCTGAGTAATCTCATCCTTTAGTCTGTATTTCTGTCCTTGAGTCATACGCCGTAGCAGCATAGTTACTACAAACCAATCCCATCCTCGTGTCTGGTAGCGTGCATCTTACAGGGCTTTTAGCATTATTTTCAGTCAACACACCCGTGATGGGGCTGTCACTTGTGTGTCCTGCCCAGCAGCTCTGATTTAAATTCGACCACCCCGCCAGCCCCTTGGTTACACGTGTGACTGTCCCCTCTGGTAGCTGATTTGGGGTACAGCTATTATAAATGCATTTTATGTACACCAGCAGTTGGGTACCTAGAAGATTTCCATGTTAAAATTTAGAGAATTAGGGGGCTGGGGATTTAGCTCAGCGGCACAGCGCCTGACTGGCAAGCGCGAGGTTGTGAGTTTGATTCCTGGTACCGGAAAAAAACAAAACAAAAAAAAAATAAAATAAAATAAAATTTAGAGAATTGATTACTGATAAACTGTTAATTTACTGAAATCAATACATTTGTTGATTATTGTACTTTTTGAAAATTGGTAGGAATAGTTTTAATTCATATTTATATCTGGGCAGTGTTTATTCATATGCAAGCAACTAATTAAATTCGGTCCATTTAAAGACTTTTTATTGACTTTACTAGTAAAAGGACAGATGAAAGTGCTGAGATCCCTTGTAGCACCATGGTACCGTGGTTCAAGCCAATGGGAACATGTTAATGAGGGTTTATCAGAAGTTATTAGGTCTTCATTAAAAGGGCAGCAAACATAGTTAATCTTAAATTTAAAATTTGTAGTCAGCAGTTTTAATTTTAGTAATAATCTCTAGAGCTTCTGTGTAACAGCCAACATTTTATACAGCTAAACGTTATTATTACGTGAATAAAATTTAGGTTATTGCAAATAACTAATCTTGGTGTCTACATTTTACATGCCTGTTTTTTTTTAGATATGATTATATTAGTTTAGATTTTTTTGATTGTTTAGTTTTCTGTATAATCTTCCTATGGGGTTGAAAACTTTGACTCTTTCGTGATTAGGAGTGTACATTGCTACATTGCCTGGGTAATGGCTTCATTTTTTGTTATTTATGGGTCTGTTTTCCCCAACTTTATTGCTGTAGGTCTAAGATACAACAAATTTGATTCCTTAATCTCTTTTTTAAAAAATTAAGCAAAATTCCCCCAAATATTTGAGTCTATACCAGCACATAGAATTTAAGAATTTAAGTTCTGTTTCCCTTTAGAAAATGGAGAGCTGTGAGTGTGTAGATCTAAAGGATACAGTGTCTTAACATGAAAAATAGTAGAAAGTGAAAGTAATAAACTTCATCTGCATGAATAATCCCCTGTACGTGTGAATTATAAATTTGTTGCTCTTTTTCTTCCATTCCAAGTAATGTCTGTACTGAAAATTGAATACTGAGTCCTAGCAAGAATGCTTTGTGCTAAATAATTTTTCATTTTTTTCTTTAAAAAAATTACTTAAAAAAAGTTCCAGGTGATTTTAAGCTTACTACAGACATAATAATTTAATCATTTGGAGAAAAAATTATTTTAAAAAGCTTAAATGTTTTAGGAACTTTTTCTTTCCAAATATCTTGTACGTTTTTGTAATTTTTGTGTGATCTTGTGCATGAATTTGCAGTCATTTCTGATTCATATTTTTGTCACTGGTATAGTGTAGCCTTTAACTATAACCTAAATTTTTGGTACTGGGAATCGAACTCAGGACCTTGTGCTTGCCAGACTGAGCTATATCCTCAGCTGGAACCTAAATTCTAAAAAATTCACTCAGCCTTCTATACTTGCTTCCTCTGGGCCACTGGCCCTCAGCTCTGCCCTCATTCTGATGTGGACATTAGGTGGCGCGTGGGCTGGTCGCTCTCAAACATGTTCTGTGGGTGTTTATCACATTTCTGCATAAAGATGGCACACACGGAGCACAGGAGTCCCGGCGACTGTAAATATGGCCCAGCTGTGTATTTTAACTTCCTCTCTTTCATAAGATAAACAAAGGAGTGAGCTTCTAAATGTGCATGACACGTTAAAAATGATGGGCTAGGTCAGGCGTGGTGACACACACCTGTAACTCAGCTACTCGGGAAACTGAGGCAGGAGGATTGGAAGTTCCAGGCCAGGTAGGGCGACTTAGCGAAACATCTTAAAATGAAAAAGCGCTGGGAATGTCACTTAGTGTTCCCTGGGTTCAGCCCCAGTACCACCTAATAAAAAAGACCCAGGAAACTGCTCTTCAGATGT